ATTGCTGAAGATTTGAAAATATTAACGTTAATGTGAAAAACTTAGCAAAATGCATGACATTTTAGAGATTTTTTTTCAATCAAAATTTTCACAATTACTTACGCATGCACAGTGTACACCTACATATATGTCTACATTTCTTCAGATTCCAGTTGAATGCTCCAAAGTAAACAAGTTCACACCGTCAAGTTCACTTGCGCACGGGGGAATTACACGCACACGCAAGACCACATACATTACATATAAAATACTCCGAAACATTAACTTAAATTCCCCTCATTTAACAAACACCATTTGAGGTTTGGGAAGGGTATGCTTGGAATGGCACGCTAGCACTCGGCACACTAAAACCGCACTCTCCCCTCCGCCGGTCCTCACAATCTCCGCCGGAGCCCTCTCAACAACAACGACGACGACAACCGCCTTGTGCGACGCTTGAACAAATATGCGAGCCCTCGCTTCACGAGCCAACAATGGCGCACGGGGTCCACACGGCGATTGCAGAGCCACGCGCGCGCTGCTCGTTGATTCTGGCCCAGAGGGCCCCTTTCCGCAGCGAATCGGTGTAGCAACGATGCCGGGGGCTTGCCACCCCCTCCGCGCGCGCCGCAGCTCGTTTTTTGCCGGGGCGCGGAGCGGCAGTTCGATTTCCGACACTCGACCGCAATTGCGAGCATTCTGCGCATGCTTGCGGGGGAATACGAGCCAAGCTCCGGCTAAGAATCTGCGAGCGATACTCATTTACACAGGCGTGCACGCTCCGCCGGTTCCCGGCAGCACTTTTATTTTAAATATTTAATAACTTCGTTCAATAAGTAGATAACCTACAAAGTGTAATTTAAATACAAACTTATTTCTGTGTATGAAAAAAATGTTCCTTAGTGGCCATTTTTAATTTGTATATTTTATCGCACTGCGTGATTGAAGGGAAGACTGTGACATGCCTGAGAAGGTATTTAATGTTTTATGCATTTGTGTTCATTTTCAGAGCCAATGGTTTGAAGATCTATGTAAAGTTTAGCGCAGCTGCACATTTAACAATAACAATAGCTGATGGTTTCATTTTCCTCAATATAAAGCCACATTAAATAAAATGCATTACCATTTTTCCTTGAAATACGTTTGCATAGAGTCAGCAAATAATGTTTCGACATTGTTGAGAAGGCCTGAAAATTTTAATTTCCATGTATTTTTCTTGAATTCATATTATATTTAAAATCACCTACACTAAATCAACAATGCAAGATAAAAACATTGTTTTTTTTTAAATAAAGTACACGTTAACTAAAGTTACAAAATAATGTGTATATCATGAAAGCCTTTTCAAAAATTCCACTGCTAGATGAAGAGCTCACTATCACATGTTTATCCTGGGGATTTGTATGACCATACTTCGCCATGTTGGTCAAAGCAGATTGAAGGGGGGAGCCAGGACTGGTTCAGATGTCACTCAACACCAATGTTAGCCATGGCCAGGAATACGAAGCAGTAAGCGAACCACTGTATCAATGCTCCAACCAATATATTGAAACTGTAACGTACAATTGAAATGTATGATCTCATCCAAGTATTTTTTTAGATTTTATTTTAGGTTCATGAAAACCTTTTGCCTACGTACAAAATGTATGACAGCAGTGCACACTATGTATGTGATGGGGTAGTTTAAATGAAATAAATACATTAAAATGTTTCAACATTAACAATTAATAACATTTAACAAATCTGCCTGCCAACCACCCCTTAATAAAGCTCAGCTTTGCATCTTCACCAAGATCATGCATGGGTAATAAATTTCGGCTGTTAGTTAATATAACAAAGCCATGACAATTATTCTCCTCCAGCAATTTCGCTTGTAATTAATTCTCTATTACCAAAGGTTAAACAAGGTTTAGTGGCTGTTACTGTACGCACGTGCTAGAATACTGCGGGTTGCCATGCTGTAACAGCTGCCTGGAGCCTCATATACATATTAAAGGACCAACCGGTCCACAGAGGCCATTAAGGCCTGCCTCTTACGTATTCCGAATCCTGACACCACCCCCTCGCAGCCCTAGCGCAAGCCCCTACTCAGGGGATTATTATTAATATTAATGTAAATCTCGTCAGATTCCGGGCCATTAATCTCTGCCTGTCCTCCTGTTCCACGACATGATAACTAATTAAACATCAAACAGCGGGCCCTAGGAGGAGATTGGGCCTGACAGGGCCCCATCCCCTCGCGGGAGGAGGCCGCCGGTCGATGCCAGGGTAGTGGCGGTAGCAAAGGCTGGAGAGGGGCGCCCCGGCGAGAGGGTGTGGGGCAACATCATGGTGCGGGCTCCCCCCACCCCAGCATGACCGTGATGCGCAATACTGCCTGTCACCCCCCACCCTCATCGTACTCGCGATGCCCGTGGCAAGAAGAAGGGGCGAGCAGCTTCACCAAAGTGCAGATGCCCCTCTCGGCTTCTATAAACTAGTTTTTATCTTACCAAGTAAGGCACACTAAGCTATAGAGCTATTTTTAAGAAGCGACCTGGCCTTAAACGATAGCTGAACCAAGTGGCTTATCATCATGTAGAATTTTATAGAGCAGACAAAATCCTCCAAACGCATTTTTTAAACACGGAGGGAACAACCAGAGGACCCGGAAAAAAATCCAAGCGACCATAGGGAGAATATGCAAACTCCAAAATATACAGGCGTCAGCGTCGAGATTCGGCCGACGACTTCCTATATATCAGGCGAAGGAGTTATCACCTCGCCACCGTGGCGCCCGGCTTTGCATTTCATACCCTCCCAAAGATGCAGAATCAAACTGTCACATACACGTGCGCGCTCACACGTAAGCGGCAGTGACTTCCATTCATCAAGCAAGTCTCGCGCAGATGTCACCGGAACATCTGCGATGGGCTCGGTGCACTCAGCGGTATCGCGGCGGCGGCAGCATAGACTCGTCGGCGGGAGGTTGATGGGTGGACCCAAGTATTTATGGAGATCACAGGCTGGGGAGAATCGGCCCTCAACAGATTGAGGACCTGCTCATCCACACATGACTTGAACGACGCGTGCACACTTACATCCTGTGACCAGTCTCCAGTAAGGAGTGTTTTTAAAAATGTGAACAACCTACCATGGAATAGTTTGTATGTATGTCTTTGTATGTACATGTATGTTGAACTTCTTTCGCACAGTACATAGCCAACCGTGCTAATCGGAGGTGCGGAGGAAGGACAAACTAAACGCAAAAAGTAGTTCCAAAGAAATGAGTTTTAAACCTAGATGTATACAGTGAGGGAAAAAAGTATTTGATCCCCTGCTGATTTTGTACGTTTGCCCACTGACAAAGAAATGATCAGTCTATAATTTTAATGGTAGGTGTATTTGAACAGTGAGAGACAGAATAACAACAAAAAAATCCAGAAAAACGCATGTCAAAAATGTTATAAATTGGTTTGCATTTTAATGAGGGAAATAAGTATTTGACCCCCTCTCAATCAGAAAGATTTCTGACTCCCAGGTGTCTTTTATACAGGTAACGAACAGAGATTAGGAGCACACTCTTAAAGGGAGTGCTCCTAATCTCAGCTTGTTACCTGTATAAAAGACACCTGTCCACAGAAGCAAGCAATCAATCAGATTCCAAACTCTCCACCATGGCCAAGACCAAAGAGCTCTCCAAGGATGTCAGGGACAAGATTGTAGATCTACACAAAGCTGGAATGGGCTACAAGACCATTGCCAAGCAGCTTGGTGAGAAAGTGACAACAGTTGGTGCGATTATTCGCAAATGGAAGAAACACAAAAGAACTGTCAATCTCCCTCGGCCTGGGGCTCCATGCAAGATCTCACCTCGTGGAGTTGCAATGATCATGAGAACGGTGAGGAATCAGCCCAGAACTACACGGGAGGATCTTGTCAATGATCTCAAGGCAGCTGGGACCATAGTCACCAAGAAAACAATTGGTAACACACTACGCTGTGAAGGACTGAAATCCTGCAGCACCCGCAAGGTCCCCCTGCTCAAGAAAGCACATATACATGCCCGTCTGAAGTTTACCAATGAACATCTGAATCATTCAGAGGGAAACTGGGTGAAAGTGTTGTGGTCAGATGAGACCAAAATGGAGCTCTTTGACATCAACTCAACTCGCTGTGTTTGGAGGAGGAGGAATGCTGCCTATGACCCCAACAACACCATCCCCACCATCAAACATGGAGGTGGAAACGTTATGCTTTGGGGGTGTTTTTCTGCTAAGGGGACAGGACAACTTCACCGCATCAAAGGGACGATGGACGAGGCCATGTACCGTCAAATCTTGGGTGAGAACCTCCTTCCCTCAGCCAGGGCATTGAAAATGGGTCGTGGATGGGTAGTCCAGCATGACAATGACCCAAAACACACGGCCAAGGCAACAAAGGAGTGGCTCAAGAAGAAGCACATTAAGGTCCTGGAGTGGCCTAGCCAGTCTCCAGACCTTAATCCCATAGAAAATCTGTGGAGGGAGCTGAAGGTTCGAATTGCCAAACGTCAGCCTCGAAACCTTAATGACTTGGAGATCTGCAAAGAGGAGTGGGACAAAATCCCTCCTGAGATGTGTGCAAACCTGGTAGCCAACTAAAAGAAACGTCTGACCTCTGTGATTGCCAACAAGGGTTTTGCCACCAAGTACTAAGTCATGTTTTGCAGAGGGGTCAAATACTTATTTCCCTCATTTAAATGCAAATCAATTCATAGCATTTTTGACATGCGTTTTTCTGGATTTTGTTGTTGTTATTCTGTCTCTCACTGTTCAAATAAACCTACCATTAAAATTATAGACTGATCATTTCTTTGTCAGTGGGCAAACGTACAAAATGAGCAGGGGATCAAATACTTTTTTCCCTCACTGTAAGTGCATAGCTCCAGCGGCTTCCTACGAAGGCATCGTGTTTAAGTCCTTTACAAAATCAACCCATTATCTTGTTTTGAAATAAGACAATTTAACATGTGATACTAAAGAGAACAAAGCAACACTTACAGAGGATGGTAACCCTGGAGGAATCTTCCTGATCTTCTTACTTGCAACATCTGCAACAGAAAGCGAACACAATTCCATTCAAACAATGCACTAAATTCCAACGTTTATTTCCAATGTATGAGGCCATTAAGATGATCTCTTGTAACGAAAACATGGTGAGAAAAAGATATGCAGGGGCAGTTGTGTTTTTGAATTTGCCATTTCTGAACTATATTAACGAGAATTTGCCAACACTCCTGTGAATGATGCAATAGACGCTTTGAATATCCACTTTACAGCAGGTTGATGCTTTTTTAAACTCCCCAAATCAATTAATGGATAGCTGTGGACTTACTTGAATCAGTGACCATGCACCATGACTCAGCAGAATATACACCATAAATCAGGCAATGTAGCTGCCTAAAATAAACACTGCAATCAATTTATCACGTAGGCTTTCGACCAATATCCTCCATAAGGTTTTTTTTGGGTTAGATGAAATAAATATAAATGTGTCGTTAAACCCGCCACCACCCGACACAGCCAATTAGGAAGGTTTGTCACATAAACAATACACACCAATTAGTTACTAGTTCAGCATACCGGTGTGTTGGAGAGTCAAATCCACAATCTTGACAATTTGAATACGACATTTTGCAGGTAATTACCACCAGCCTCATCAGGCAACAGCCAGAATTGTGGAAAAATGCTCTCTGTTTCGGTCTCAATATCTGAGCCGCGCAAGCACAGCACGAAAATAAACAATCGCTGAAAACAATGACACGCAGTACGGATGATTTTAAAAGGAACCAAGTATTAACCTTTGAAAGGCCCTTTCTGCAGCAATACGTGCGGCCTTGGCCAATGGCGTTCGGACACAGCACCACCAGACAGAGTTTGGTGGGCTCTCTCTCAGGTCCCCCTTGGCCATGGAAGAATAGGGCGCCAGTTGTTATTAACTTGTGCCACGACATTGGGCCTCCCAGCATGGCGTCGTGGGCCAGCAGGAATGGGTCCAAGCCATACTTTCCCGAAACTCCACATCCAGTGATTTCCGAGGCTCATCAATGAGTCAGCGGCGACACCGACAGGGCGGTAATGAGAGGCAAGCCGCTCGGCCAATAGCGGCTTGCCAATCTCATGCAACGGTGACTAAGGGCCCAGTAAATACAGCTGCACTATTAAAAATGGCATTCTGCCACGACAGTAGAGAGTTGTTCAAAATGGTATGTTATAATATGTGTATGCTTATCAAATTATCAGCCGTGCTGCCGGACTGATAATGGGTAACAAATAAACCTCACAAAAAAACAACAACCTCTATTAAAATTTCAACCATGCCTATTATAACACTGGCCCTCTGGAAATATTTGTAAACAAGGGATTTACATGACTGATAATTTAGAGATAGCATTAGTCAATGCAAAGGAGGGATCAAAGTGGCATAGTTTGCACGTGCTATGCATTTAAATTCGGCACATTGAGCTCAAGCGCGGTTCTTTCAGCTTGCCTGGCAGCAAGGCATGCGAGTCAGAAGGGGAATTAAACAAACAGCCTGGATGTGCGATATAGCGATAAGAAGGCATCACAAGTCAAGCTCACGACTCTGAAAAACTGGGCTGTTTTGCAAGTCGCGCAATCGAGTGGGGCTCCACTGTCTAATTTAACATTCGCCCACGTGGGTTATTATGAGCACTAGGAGGAGACTGGCGAGGAGACTGGCATGGTGACAGACAGGTACTAAAGAGAATAAAGGTCTATGAACTGAAATAATTATATAGGCAATAAATGGCAGGCAAAAAAATGTGTGCGTTCATTTAAAATGTAAATACGTGGTTCCCTGATACTATCGAGACCTTTGCAATTTAAGACCAGAGAGTGAAAAAGAATATCCCTTTGCTCAGACACAATCAAGGGCCCGACACTTTCCAGAAAGACCATTTCTCACTTTTCCCAAGCAAATTTTGGCACAATTTCACTATGAATACCGAGCTGAGCTCTTTGCAAATGCAAACCAATCCCAAAGTAGGGTTGGGGGGGGGGGTATAACGGGGACAGCGTCACAAGATAATGGCATAATCCCCACCCCCAAAAAACGGTGCTGTTTGATCCAGACTCTGCTTTGCCTGACACACACACCTATTCATGCGTATGTGCAAGTGGCCGAAACCCCCTCAAGAGCCATTCTGCATTGCATGGAGTTTTCCCGCAAAGTGCTAAATTGCTCCACACGGAGCCCAATCCTCTATGCGAGTGGCAAATGTGGTGCGAGAGCCACGGCAACGCAGCACAATCGCCATCCTGCCGTGTATACACACGGACACACCTAGTCTGTGCCCTCCGGTTGCCCAGGCGAAAAAGTAGACAACGTCCTTGCCCAATCCTGGCCAGCTGGATTAAAAACTCAATAAACAAACACCTGTGTCCAAATACACAGCGTTGTAAAGTCAAGGTCAAGACATCACAGCGAAAGCCGCTGGTGCCAACATACCTCATCAGGACTTCCTTCCTCCCTTCTGTCAGACCGTACAGCAACTGTTGCACAGTCAACACCTGACCGCTTTGAACGGCTATAATAGCACCATGCCCACCATCTGGCTGAAGGTCTCTTATCTTCCTTTGTTGCCAACCTCTTGGTGCCATTCCAATGCCCGTCTCAGCAGCCTGCTCTCCTCCAACGTTTTATGTGTGCCACCCATCAGTCTCCCAATCTCAAGCGCATCTACAATGCCATCTTGTCGTCACATCTATCCCAACATTTCAAGTCACCGAGCCAATCTTGCCAGGAAATTCGTACCATACTCAAAGGCCATAAGCTAAAGCACATTACTCTCGCCTAAACATCTGATTCTTGACACTTGAGTTGACCGTGCCTGCAAAGTATGTAATATAGTACTTCATGAACCCATCCTTTCCTACTTTGACAAAATCAAGTTCTATTGAAACCTGTGATAAATGTTCCAGATATTTAACCTTTAACCACGATCATAAACTGGCTTATGGGGAGGTGGGGGGGCGAGCAAAGAATGTAGTCTGCATACCTTGCTAAAAATGTCCAAACGATGGGCCACTTTGGCGAGCTATTATTTGTGGCCAGGTCGCTTCTGAAAAATAAGTTAATACCTCAGTGGGCTTTATCTGGGAGGATGGGGATGGTTTAGTTTATTTGTATGAATGTATTTGGGTTATTTATTTACCTTCCTTGTACTTTGGACGACGATCATGTTCTTACATTGTTTGTGGTTGTAACGTTATTTCCCGCCCCTACAGAACATCTGTGAATAAGAGCTTTATAGTTCATCGGATTCCTCCAGTATAAATCAATATTCTGATTCTAAATTCTGAATAGTGTGGAGTGGGCCTCCGTATCCATCCCACACCACTGACGATTGTGAGCCTGCCCCCCCCCCCCACCCCACCGAGGTGCTGAATGCCGTGAATCGGCACGTGGATAAAAATACCAAGCTCTTGTGCCCCCTCCCACCCTTGCCCCCCATCCACTTTGGCCCTTTTCCATTGTGCGGCTTGGCTCGGCAGAATATGCTCCCACACAGGTTGTGGTGCAAAAGCCTCTGCGTACGTGAACTGTGGAGCTGTGCACGAGGAAATAATTACTAGTCAGATTTTTTTTTCATAAAAATAATAACATTCATCCCTTTGTCAATCCACTGCTGGATGATGGCCTCCAAAAAGCCACATCAGTCATGGGGGAGCTGTTTGATCATACTTCACTGTACTAGTTGGACTAAAAGTACCTGGCACAGGTCTAGTCATCTGCAATATGGCGAGGGGAAAAAAAGGCAGCCAGCCATGGGTCTTGGCTGCACTGCCCAACATTAACAAGTGCTTGTTAATAGTATTAGCCACAAAAGAGTGCAAGGCCAAACAGGAGATCATCTACATCAGAGTGGTGGTAGTTTAGTTGTGTGTTTTTATGTATGTTTAACTTTTTTTTGCACTGTACGTAGCCAACCGTGCTAATTGGAGTTGTGGGGGAAGGACAAACCAAATACAAAAATCAGTTCTGAAGAAATGAGTTTTATATCTATATTTAAAAGTGGCTTCCCAATATTGGAAGGGTGTTCCAGACGGCTGCAGAAGCGCTTCTGAAAGCGAACGATGCGGTGACCATCTTTGTTCGATGGTTATCCAAAAGTAGCTGCTGCTGCGAGGATGACCGGAGTTTGTGTGATGGTTTATGCACCTTGACGAGATCAGCAAGGTATTGTGGTTCATTTGTGGCCAACACTTCGTGCGTAATGAGTTCACCGTGCCCTATGCATGCATCCCGAGTTTGTAGCTTCCAGTCGGCAGCTTGCTCGTCGCGCAGAGTGAGTGCACGCAACACGCGCAGTACTTACCGATGCCTGGAGAGTCGGGCAGAGGTCTCCGGCGGGGGTTCGTGGCGACAAACGGGTAGTAAGGGGAGCCTGGCTTTCCATGCGGAGACATGGGCCCTGGGCTCGTCATGCCCAGCTCTGACCCCAGCATCCCAGGCTACAAAGAGAGACGTGGACACACAACGCGCAGACGCGTCGAGCTCGGCTTCAATACATCCGCTGACAGACAACCTTCACCGGCGCCGTCGCTACAGTGATCATGACAATCGCTGTCAAGTGCATTATCAGCAACGGCTCCTACAAGCAGTATCTAGAAGCTTAAATGCCACTTAGTGGCGCTGTCTGTCTGCACGCTTTCACTTTAGTCGATCTGACAGGTTTAAGATAGCCGCGCAAATAAAGGGATAGTAAGAAGAGTGTTGACGCATAAGCTTAACTTATTTATGAACGTTAAAAGATTGCTAGATAGCTATATTCACTTCATAGGTGCTCCAAAAGGGTTGTATATCGGCTTATGACAGTAAATGTATTATATAAAACAATCAATACAGTGATCTATCATATCAATATAAGAATTTCGAATCACCATAATGGCATTCATCACAGGGATAAAATCAGGACAGTGCAATATTTGCTATTATATCACTCTTAAACATCCTGAAAGAATACAAATCTGAACAAAATTCTCAGCAGTAACACACATGTATAGGCTCAAGCCACCACACGATGTTTGTAGCCAGTCATCATTGGTCAAAAAAAATAACCACCTCAACAAATAATAGCTTGAGAAGTATATTCTTAGTTCTTTCGGTAAAGTCACGTTGAAGGGAAACAACTAAATAATAAAATATATATAAAACAATAAAAATTCTCACGAAGTGTTTCCAAAAAATGTTCAAGTTAATTTCGAAGGTGGCTGCCTGAATAAAACAAAATATGCCACTTTTCCTTGGCATCATTACAGGCCCTCCGAGTATGAATTGAAAAACGGTGCCAAAGAAACGCCCTTCTCCACCCACCACCGCGGCAGACACGCAAGACACACGCATGTGCTAAGGAAGCGAGCGAGCGCACACGCACACACGAATGCGAGCGTCACACCAGTCACGTCTCCAGAATGGCTGGCAGTCAAGTGAACAGCTGCGCCGGCCGCTTCAACCCCTGCAGGCACGTCACAAACAATCACGTCCGCGTCGGCTACCCCCCCCCCCTCCAGCAAAGCGGCAAGCGACACCGCCAGACCCGGGGTCTGGGCAAACACGCCAGGGCCTCTTCTCTCCCTCAGCCCATTTCCCCACCCCCCCAACGCGTGCCTTTCCCCGTGTTTCAGACGGCCTGCTCTGCCCCACTTGTGCCCACACACAGCAGTTTACGCCGCCCAAAGAGTTTGCACTCTCTCTGCTCAACACTCTTCTGCGCTCTCTTTTACTCGCTCCCCATTTGGTCAAACTGCCCCGTCTGTCGTCGTCCTTCACACAATGTGTGTACGTTGAACTTCTTTTGCACTGTACGTAGCTGAACGGAGGGGTGGAGCGGGAAGGACAACAAACTAAAAACACGACACTATATGGACTCTCCCCTATTCATCCATCCCCCTGGCTGCACAGCTTCACCCGTCTGGTCATCTCCAACATTTCCAACTCACGGTCTACGTTTGTCTTTTGCACAGGTTCGGCAGCAGCGATGATATGTTCAAGTTAAGACTATAAGATCATGACTGGGATTAACACAAGCACTAGGTTTACGAAAAATGCTAATGTGTATTTCTTAATTTAGGCTTAAATTAGAAATTGGAACCAATACTGAAAACGCCACTGCAAATAACATGTGAATAATAGTCTAGATTCAGAAGTTTAATAAAAATGTAACAGTAAAACATCTAATTATTGATAGCTTACTTTTCAAAATGTCTTCTCTGTATTCTCTGTAATTTAAATGTAGTGGTTAATCAAGGTGTAACTGGTAAAAGTTATTTTTGGGATATTCCCACTCAAGGCTTTTTGTTTTTGTATAGGATTGCTGAGAAGTACACATACATGTGCAAAAAAACATTTAGAAACAGCTGGAAAATTAAGCAAACAATTGCTCGGCACACGTACACAATTTTGTGTTAAAGACCAAGCCAATCCCCATACTTAAAACTATCAGCAGTACCACAAATGCACCCTTCATAAGAGTCGAATCGATAAAGTAATGAGAGTAAAGTGAGAAATGTAAACATATCATCCCATTACAAGAATGCAGAGCAATGGTAATAGTGTAATATATTCCCACACAATTACTTTTAACGCATTTGGATTGAGGTTACCAAACTGCTCAGGCTGTGAGTCGAAGTGGAAAGAGATGAGGAAAGGACTTTTGTGAAATGTGCGTGCCTAAGCAAACCTTATTTATTGGGCAAAGCAGTCCGCTAAAAAAAATCCATTCTTGATCTTCAACTGCAGTGTAACTGCATCACCTCTAAATAAGATGGCATTAGCCAGGTAAACGCTCACAGTGTAAAGCATTAAAGCCCTACATCTAAACAATTGTGGCTCTCACCCCTGCACAAGCTGGCAAAAGTTGCACGCCTTCCCAAGTCGCTGGCACACTTTTCTCCACAAAAGACAGGTCGCGACAGTTACGCATAAATCAGTAGCGGAGCTGAAGGCATCAAATCGGAGTGAACTCTTCCGACCAAACGAGGGGGAAAAAAAAATACACACGTTCTGTTTCCGCACGTCACCCCGCAGGGATTCCAACTTGGGTTCACTTGGGTACCACATCTATTTTTATTCCACACGGTATACCTTGCGCAGCCGCCATTCACGTTGTTGCCTATTGTGTTTTTTGTGTATAGGAATGGAGTTCCGGCTGTGACCCCCCCCGCCCCTCTTTGCATAAATGTATTTCTACAAATATACACTTCCAAGATAACGGAGACCCAAACGTTAACTTTCTCTGTTTGGCAAATGAAGCGCAGTGTACAAAGAGAAAAAAAGAGTAAGGACCGTAATAGCAAACGATTTCATCATCAAATTTAGTGGTAAGCCAACCACCGATGCGTTTTTTTATACAATTAAATTGATAATACTCAAAATGGAAAAATGTTAGCATCTATAGCCAGAAAGCATAAAGATGTTCAATACAAACCAGTGCAAGAAACGCACATGTCATTCAAATTATGAGCACAGTGATGGAAGTTTGAAGCCAGAATGGAACAGAAATAACACTATGTAACACGATTTTTGTCCCTGGGTAGCAAGTGTTAGTTTTTAATTGCTTATGCCTAAAAAGTACAGAAAATGCCTATTATTCCCCACAAACTTTGCTTTTGTGACCAGGACTTTGTGTGTAGGAATGACACAAATGCACACGTTTTCTCATTGAAAATAGGTACATTTGAAAATATGACTGTCCTGGTCACAAAAGCAAAGTTTGTGGGGAATAATATCAATTTTCTGTATTTGAGGCATAAGCAATTAGGAAAGAACACTTACTACCCATGAACAAAAAAAATGTTCCACAGTGTAATCAGTGGACAATTTATAGACACCAAATTTAACATTATATAAAACACTTAGCAAAACATTGGAACATCAGAATTTATATTGTTAAACGTATGCAATATTAACATAAAAAAATCCTCGTTATTTGAAGACAAAATGTGTAGAATTGATGTGGGAAATACTCTATATGGATAAAAACAATGTTTTTGACCACTTTCTAGCAAAAGCCAATTAGAACACAGAAAATCCTGCTGTAATGAAAACCAAGTCGTTCATAAAGATGTTCATCTACCGATTGATTTAGGGTTGCAGTGCTAAAGAGCAAAAAAGGGGCTTTGTTGTAATCTTTGAAGTTCCTAAACATTATCAAACATGTTTTATTCCTTGCATGTATAAGGACAACCAATCAATATCACAGATGGTCAATGTGGTTGTAATGAGACCAAATGTGTCAATAAAGTGGAACTCCTCTTTTCCTCATTGATGTGCTGGGAGTGCCAATAATGGACAAACATGAGTAGGTCTTATGCCAAAATTTGGGAAAACAACTCCAAGGCGAAAACAAGTGTGTAATAAAGGCAGATATTATGAAATTGCCACGCATCTCGGCTTATTTCCATGGAATTGCAAACACGGAATTGCTTGACAAATCACTTCCGGGTGAATCATCCTAATGGCTATACCACAGATAAGAGGAAGCATCGACCCGCAGACAACTGGAGTTTCCATTGATCCATTTGGACTCGCAGACCATAGGGTTGGTGCTTAACAGTTGCCCTGTACTTAATTATTTCTGCTGGAGAAAAAGTTCACACAATGCTCAAAAGAACAATGTTTGCTACATTTGTACAATTCGGGCCTTCCACATGAATGTCTTTGAACAGCATTTTGTTTAGACGAGGCAAACCCCCAAGACCGGTTTTACCTTTACCAATCAAACATTGTTTATCGCTTACAATCCACCGAGGCAATAGAGGCAGGAGAGATTAATAAGCATTGCTATACTCGTTTGCAGAAAAGTAATCTGGGCTTCTCAATGTCCATATGTACACGTATTAATCCAATGTATAATCAGGTTATTGTTGTTCGACATATTCCACATTTCCCCTCTGAAAAAAAAACCACGCCGGAGAGCTAGACAGCACATAACCACGGTATTTTTTCTCACCAAATGAGGAAAAAGTGTGTTATACATATCACACGTTAAAGTCCATGCGATTTTTACTTTTCTATTTAAGCAACCTCTGTGCTTGCTGGTAGATACGATACATAACTATTTTTGAAAGAGAAAAAACAAACTTTCCATTTGTCCCAGCCAAAAAGTGGAAGTTACTGCAAAACCCGCAGTCATCTAACCGATGCAGGTGGCTGGGTGCCACCATTTGGCATGGGTCGGCTGGCCTTTTTTTAATGAAGACAAGAGGTGGGGGGGGGGGGTTAGACGACTGCGTTTTAAATCCCCTCGTGGAGCACAAGACTGGCAGTGAACGCCACAGGGCAGGAGGAGTAGTCTCCTCCTCTTCACGAATGAAAGAGAGGGAGAAAGACAAAACAAAATCTAGCAATAATGTCAGCAACACTGCTCACAGGGGAGGGGGCCGGGCAGGAACAACAGCACTGGACACTGTGCCTGTGTGTACAATAAAAAGCCCTCACTTTAAAAAACAAG